CCCCGACTGCGCCAGTCTAGTGTTTCTCTTCCTTTTCTGTTTTCTTTGATTTGGCTGTGGCCAGGCATTTAGTCATTGTCAACTGTTTTTTTTCGAAATGTTTGATTGTCATAGTAACATTACGCTAAGTACAATTAAACGCCCGAGTTGAACAGTAGTCATTTCTAAGGTTCAAAATAAACGAACATGATTATTTAATTTAGTTTAATTCCTTCAGTTAAAAATTGAGTTTCCAAAATAAATAAATATTAACACGTACGTCGTACCCTCATGTATACTACAAGTTTTCATTAAAACAAAGTCAAAGTTTATGAAATTGCTTTTCTGCCTGTTCGCCAATCCATTGCTCCAAAAATACACCGTTAAATACTCTTATTTTCCCAGCATCGAGATGGCTCTGCCAACTCTTGTTATTTATTATTTGTCTGTGTCATTGATCGGTCCACGTATGTCTATTATGGTATCCAGCAACTTGAACTGTTCAGGCACTCTGTTTGTGTTGGTAGCCACTTAATAATTGCCAAAATCACTTTTTACAGAATAAGCCCACATAACTTCATCTATAATTAGATATTATATTTGTATAATATGATAGTATGTTTCTTGAGTTGTACATGTAATGATATGTGTAATTGCCATCAAAGTTTCATTTATTCACATGAATATAACAATTTCCCCACCACAATTTTATAGCCAAGTTTTGCATGTTTTTCTGTATTTTTTTTTAGACATAATCTTACATTGCTTACAGAGCTTGATCAAAATTTTTGAAGAAAATAAAAAAAATTATGTGGGTTTGAATTTGTGAATGGTGGCAAAAATGGACTTTGGTATTTCATGGGTTAATCAGTTAATGGGTTAATATTGATTTTTTCTCAGAGTATATTAATTCAGATACGATGCGAGATAATGTCTGACCCGAATGCACAGTTAGATTACGATGCTGATAAGGAGTATGACGAAGTGGCCGCTAGACAGGCATTTGAACGAATGGTGATGAGGTATGGATGGAATAAATGACTGAAATTACCACCATGATAAAACAATTCACAGCGTCAACCACATTCGCACATGTGACCTTACAGAGTGACAAAGTTTGTTACCTCATTGGAAGAATCTCTTCATTGGATCTTGTTTGCAGTATCTGGTAGTAAAGCAAAGTTTTAGGTTCATCTTGGATCAGGCTTTCCTTTCTGGGGCACAACGTAAACAGCTGCTAGAGATAGGTCTTGTAGCAATGAACATATAATTCTTGCAAACACCCTCAAAGGCAAGCGGTTGTCATGGCATGCAGTGTTCAGTGTGGGAAAAATGCATAGTTTGTTTACATTTAAATTCAAGCATATGATTTACATGATGTGGCTATCAAAAATGAATGAACAAAATTAATTTACATTTTTCAAGTGTTGTATGTTTGACAGCAATCTCATCACAGTGAAACAGTGTAGCCCATGCACGGTAATTCAATAAACAACCAAAACCTAATATAAGAAATGAAGACTCCTGATATTTGTATTAAACCATGGACTGTACGAAAAAGTGAAGATGTGCAACTGTGGCGAAGGAAAGCGAATAATGCACCATGTGATGTCTGGCACTTTGTATTCCATTATGTAAGCACGATGACATTTATTAATTACTTTCCATCATGGTGTCGTATTTTCTTCATTAAACTGGTTGTATATTTTTTTATAAATCATACTACTGTAAATTTATGGTATGATCAGTCATTGTAAAAGAACATGCTTTGTGTATTAAAAAAAAAATTAAAATATTTGAAAAAAGCAAAAACGTGCCCTAGTGTACTTAATAGACTAGACGAACACCTCAAAGTACAATGCAGTAGTGATATGAAAGATTTACACAACATTGATATCCATGTAAGTTGATCCCATGGTAATATAATCCCATGATATCTTTTCTTAGGTTGACACCATCGTTGCATAGGTTTGGTTTTTTAAAAAAAAAAAAAAATCATGGGACTGACATCTCAATCACAATTGTCATAAATTGAAATCATTGTCATATTCACATGACAATTTTAAAAGCTCTACATTTCAAAACAAAAGTTCAAATAGACTGCAGAGGGAGCTGTTCCATTTTTTGCTACACAAAGCTGTTTTCACGCAACTTACCGTAATTACATTGAGCAGTTTCACAATCTAATCATGAAGTACGTGGATCAATGTCTTGTACATGCAATGTTTGATATACATGTACAAGGTATACACCATATTTGGGTGCACATAGGTTTGGGAATACAAGAGTCTGACACTGTTGATTTGGATTCCTGGAAACAATGAGTTACATATGATTCAAAAATATACTCTGAATACAAAAATTCCTATTTGTTAACTATTTAAGTTTGCCTCATGTGATCTTTCGTCACCAGTTGCATGAACTTGTTAAAATTTATACAAGAACAAACATAGATTGTAACAGTGTTCTTGCTTGGAAAGGTTACACTGATGCAACTCGTACCGGTAAGTAAAGATAAGGATCTTGTGTTCACATCAGCAATTCTTACAAGAGGTATTAATATGGCAGCCACTGGATGGACAACAATGGCATTACGGTAACTCGCAGATGTGTTTCGGTTGACCAATGTCCCTGTGATAGAGGGACTGTGGGTTTACTATATACTTTCGTTTTTCGCATACTTTTTTAATCAAGCAATAATAGTTGACAGTTTTATCTATAAAAAATACCAGTCAATGTAACAACCTAAACTGCCTGAAAATATGACTTAAAATAGCAAGAACTTATTTTGAAATAAGATGATTACAGTTGGGCGTGGCACTTAATCTAGTTTAGGAGGTAAAATATAGTGCTTTATAAGTAACTGTTCTCAATATAGTTTCGCAACATTTCTAATTGTCTTAAACTTAAAGGGCCAAATTTGAGCCCCTTCATGATGACGTGAAGTATTACACCGTTCACACCTGTTTTTAAGCTGGCACAAGTATTACATTATATTTATACCAGTGCTGATAATATTAACTGCCCCACAAACGCTTCTCCAAAGGGGCTTAAACTCTTAACGTAAAAGTAACATTCATGTATGTGTTTCTCCTACATCAGTGTACAGGGCTACAAAAAAAAAATTGTGATGTTATACGACTGTATTAGTTTTTGTCATATGTGTGAAATAACGTGTACATTATACATGTATCACCCTGTATGAACTTTGACTTTTAGATAAAATACAATCGCATGTTATTTGATATATGATAATTACATGACATCAAACACAGGATACTAGTATGCATTTTTTTTTTGTCACACAGCAAATTTTGCATAAAGATGTTTTAGTAACATTAAATGCATCATGAATTATCACCATACCTCGTACTTATGTGTCTGCTGGTGATAATATTGTGTTTGAATACCAGAACATTGCCAAACTGATTTATTTTATGTCTACAAACAAGAAATTGAAAACATGTACGGTTTTCACAAGACTAGAAACATTTTTTTCTATATACTATCGAAAATAGAGTCATTGCTTGCAATGTCTAGCCATTCTGAATACGATAGTTAATTAGAACAATGATTACCAATTAAATATTATCTACTGTATATCATGTACCGTATTTGCTCTATTATGAGTGTATATAAACCTAAAATTGATGTATACTGAATACGTAGAATCACTCCAGTATTTTGTGCGAGTGCATGCACTACTAATAGCTATAAATAAGTTTACAATTCAAATTGTAAACAATACATAAACCAAACAAGACCATTTTCAGAAGTGTCATCACAAAAGCAGTTCAATGAGAAATAATGGGAATTGGAGTTGTGTGTTTGAAAATTAGTAAAAATTATGGGCAACCAATCTGCTGGTCAATCATTGATGCAAGTTTCCGCAGTTTCCAGTCAGGTCAGATATGTGTCAGTCATGTTACGCTCTGTGTATGAACAAATATTTCTTGCAGATGAAGAAATGGTCAGAACCAGTAAAATAAAGAAGGCAATAACTAGAAAAAAACATTGTATCTCTGCTGTTCATACTGGGGTTTGCAGGGACATGATTTATAAAAATGGCTACCACAGGTCAACTGTTATGATACTCACCAGGTAAAATCTTAAACCTAACACCTGAGACAGATATGCTGTACAAGCAGTAACTCCTGGATGTAAATTAATGGTGCTTTAAACAGGTTCAATCACAGTGGGACTGTGTATGAATTTGTATTTGGCTAAATTTAGTACCTCTGCACATTTTTACAGCTAGTGTTTTCACATAATATTGTTGTACAGGTATTAACTCAAAGTCTTTCGTCTATTTCATTATACAAACCTTGAATACTGTAAATGCATTAATTATTCACTTGGAAAATCTACTAAAATAAATCCACAATAGAACTCACCATTTCATTGGAAAATTTGTTTTTAAAGTAGGCTACAAAAAGCAGAGATTACATGTAGCTGTGGATGGTTGTGGGTTACACTTACCGGGGGTATGTCCATTTGCTTGATTAGAAGTGTGTGAACAATTTGCTAAAAAAGTTAAAAAGATCAGAACGAGTAAGGTATACGTAAAATTACACCAAAACAAACGTTTTTGGCCTCCCAAGATGTGCTTCTAATAGAAAACAAGCAGCCTATCGGCTGAGATAGCTCCGCTGTTAGCAATGCACATTTCAATTAAAGAACTGAAGACATCATTAGAAAACAAGTAATCTGTAGAATGCTGTGTGGGTAATATTTTTATATTGATTTTTGTTGCATTTGCAGCAAATAGTTACCAAACAATGAGAAATCTATAGGATTGAATATACCTCTCGACTGGCTTCACATGCATAGTTCAAGCCTGCCTAACCAGTGCTTATACCAGGATTTAGTTACAGCACCAAGACGATCTGTGGTTACAGCTTCATGGTCAGAGTAATCGCAAAATTGATATTACAATAGAAAATCATGAAAGACTGGCAGTCCCATGCAATTAATAGCAAGTGAAATTCCTGGGATTGAAACATGTATTTTGAAGTCACTGATGTAGGCAATGAATGATAGTTTATTTAATCAGTGCTGAACTAGAGGCTGAAATTATAATTGTAAGTGCGTTGTCATATAATTTGTTTATTTCAATTTCTTCTGAAGTCAAATAGAATGCACTGGTGAAACCGTGAGTGAAAGGATGTTTTGGGGGGATAGTCTACATTGTGTATGGAGTGGTAGGGTCGGGCGTCACATAATTTGTTCATTTCCAACTCTTATGAAGTCACATAGAATTTCACTTAATTTATTTTCGCTGAAACGTTTTCAAGCATTACATGTGAATCCGATTTTCCCTGTGCTGTGTCTCAATAGAGTAAACTAATTTGCATATCACCCATGCAATAATGTTTTCGGTATTTTCACGGTCAATATGCTAATAAACATGGTATTGGCGACCCGTTCTACTAGGATTGCCCCTCAAATCATTTGTGTGTGTGGTTTCCAGTGTTTTCACGTATTAGTTCTTCTGTGATTTTTTTGGCTTGGCCGATTTCACTCAAACATGGCAGGTAGGTCACACCTTCACCCTAGTTATTAGGAAAAATCTAAAAAAAATGTTGGTCCATCGTTGCCATAGCAACAGTAAAAAATGATTTTTGGATAGCTTCGAGCTTAATGTATCTCCTACAAATTTAGGATACAACACCTCAGACATAGCTCATTGTACTCGGCTTGAGTATGGGCACAATGATACTATTTTTTTTCATCAATGAGAAAGTTGACCCCAAATTT